GCAGCACCACTACGGATCTTCCCGCCGCACTTCGCCATTATACTATTCCATCTAGAGAAGATAACGAAGAGAAGAGATTGACACTGCTGCACCGCTCGTTCACGGTGGTTCACATTCCAACAGGTTATGGGCCCAGGCCACCATGTGTGAAAGAGTCGAAACATTGAGGATAGAATGTTGACGAAGGCTGTGCGAGTGCCTATGCGAAATCAATAGAAGTGAACCGAGTGAAAAAAGAAATTTCCTAAACCGCGGCGTGGTGACGGAAAGGAGCCCGGCGGGAGAATGGTCAACGAGGACTCAGAATCGCGTCTGTCTTCGCGTCTGCATGAGGTTCATCAGGAGCTCTGAGGAGCCGACACCTAAGCTTTCGCCAAAAGAGACTATTGAGGAAAACACCACGACAGGCGAAACGGGAGAGAGACGCAGGTGGAGGAAGACCTGCGTTGGGTTGATATGTGTTCAGAAAAGATCTACTGGAGTGTAGAACTGTGAATGTACGAATCCCGAGAATGAACATGGCGTGAATGCACGACTAGCTGGAAAGCGATCGACACGCTACTCAAGAGAGCGTGTCGATGATGGTTGCTGCTGGACTCGATGAGAGCTAAAGACAGATCTCGTATCGAGAAAGCTCTGACTGGTGTCTTCGATGAGCACACCATGGTTTCGTCAATCATCTGGCAAGAATCTGAAGGAGGACCGAGGCTTAAGGTAGCGGGTCCGGTGGACAGCTTGAGAGGACCGATGCTTGATGTAGCGGGTCCGGGCGATGAGATGAGCGGACCGATGCTTGATGTAGCGGGTCCGGGCGATGAGATGAGTGGACCGATGCTTGATGTAGCGGGTCCGGGCGATGAGATGAGTGGACCGATGCTTGATGTAGCGGGTCCGGGTGATGAGATGAGGGGACCAATGCCATGGGTGGCAGGTCAGGATGAGGGGCCGATGCCATGTGTGGCAGGTCAGGACGACGGAAGACCAATGCCTAATGTGGCGGGTCGAGAATTGGTCGTGATGAGATGGTCGGTCGAGATGATGAACACGTGCCATGTGTGGCAGGTTCAGATCAGCTGAAGGGTCGAAATGGGCGACCAATGCCATTTGAGGCATGTTGGAATGGAGCATCGAGCGATGGCTGAGGCACGGCTCAATTGCCCGCCAGCCTTTTTCGGAACGCAGACGGAAACGCTGGAAGCGTCGTTGAGAGCGCTGGGAGCGCAGATGGAAACGCTGGGAGCGTTGAGGACGCTAAGAGCGTAGATGAGAATGCTGGGAGCGTTAGTAGCGCTCGGAGCGCGGACAAAGGCTGCTCGGGAAGCGTCGGGAATTCGAGAAAACTGGACGAGGGCTCGGGGAGCACAGGAAATATCCGACCGTGCCGGGGTCAGGACAGAGATCAAAGTCAGCGGAACACCGAGCTGTCACTACCCATCGATTATACAAGACCAAAACTGGATCGCGGAGTGCTGCGGAATGCCAGAGAACTTCGCGAGCGATGGGAGTACTTCAGATAAGTAGAACCTAAGTTGAATTTTCTTAGAGGGTGCCTCATCCACCTTGAATGAGCTCCCTGGTTTTGAAGCAAGGGGGAGCCTTCGAGATCGCGCTCCACTTCGAAGGATCTTCGTGGTTCTGCGCAAGGGGGAGTGTTGGGAGGTGTGCGCAGCACCACTACGGATCTTCCCGCCGCACTTCGCCATTATACTATTCCATCTAGAGAAGATAACGAAGAGAAGAGATTGACACTGCTGCACCGCTCGTTCACGGTGGTTCACATTCCAACAAGACTTCACCTTTTCGCGAATCGCTTTGTGGATCGGCGTCATCAAATACATACTACGTGTGTACATGAAGTGAACAGGGAGGAGAGGGAAGAGAAGCGAGACAGTTCGGTGGCTCGGTGCGAGGGCACACAAGCGAGCGGGCAGACAACGAGTTTCGGCGTCTGCGGGAAAATAAATTTGGCTTTCCGCGCGATTTCATCCCAATGCTCCGTGATCTCTTCCTCCGCTCTGTTAGTACGGCTGGTCGCAACAATGGCCCGAGAAAAAAACACAATGTCAACAAACATACGGGCACAAGCAAGCAATGCGCTCCTCGGTTGTAACCCTTTTTTGAAGCTTCACGCGGGAATGTTTTTTTTTCGCTCGAGAAAATTTCCCCGATAATGTGAGAGCTCCTCAGAAGCGCTGCCCCCACCGCACCGACACGATACTCTTCATCGAGGATTCAAACAACGCCATTCTTTTCAATGGATGCTCTCATCCGAGATGCCAGCCAAAAACTTCAACAAGAAGTCATGGAACTTGCGGAGCGGATAATCGAGAAAGTTTTGATCGGAATCCGCCGCCAGTCTCTTCTCGGTGTGATATCTTCAGAAGACCACCAGTCCTTGCGGGCCGACGCGGGCATCTTTCAAATGTTTTAATCCAATCTCATATGATGTTCGGCTGAGCTCTCCCGTCACGGGATCTTCAAAATGAAATATCTCGCAGGGAGAACACCACATCACCTGCGGGCCGCTTATCAGACCCGGAAACCCTTGACAAAAGTGAAAGAGACATTTATGCCCCCGACAAGTGCGAGCAATTTTGAAAGTGTTAAGCTTATCTCTTTGAATGAGTGTATACGTCGAGGCGGGAGACAGCAGGAGTTACCGCTTGCGCACCGAGTACAATCCTTGTCAGGCTCCATTTAAATTTCACTTCTCACCAAGACCGGATGTCTCTCGCGCGGGCAAAGCAACTATGGAGGAACAGAGGATGTGGCAAGGCTAGCAGAGACATTGGCATGGCACGCAGCAGAGTCCCCTGATCCGTCTCAGCCCATTCAGGGCGCTCGTTCCGGGCGGCCCGCTCAAAGCTGTCCGAGCTCGAAACATCCGTCCGGACGTCTTCATCGTTGTATGTCAGCTCGCACAGATCCCGATTCGCAAGGCCTCGGGCGAGCCTCGGAGCGTTCTGTGTTTGTCATTCTGTTGCGCGCTCAGACGCCCCCACTGTGTGTGTAGCCGTCTCGCTGCTCCGCGAGTTTTCAGCATCAACTACCGCGCGAAAATTGCCCGAAACATTGGAGCATACAGGAAGAGAAATGTTCCCTGGGAACCCTGAGCATGCTGCATCTTGGATGGACGCATTTTTGGGGTTTGAGACGAGGAAAAAGAAGAACCATGGTCCATGGTCCCTCGATAATATACAAAATGTCTTCAGCGAAACTTGGACCAACTCCAGAACGGTAGTAGGAAGAACTTATGAAAAGCTACTGCCCTCATCGCGTCTGGCGGTGAGAGTAAGCTCGTCGGGCGTTTCTTGAATAGATATGTATAAGAATCAACATGGGCTGCTGCGATCCTCGAGCAGGTCGTTTTTATCTAGAGCCGAGCGAAGTTGCCCCTCAAGTTGTTCCTACTGTTGCAAGAAGTAACCTGAAGTAGATATGATCAACTAGGGACGAGAACCGAGATCCTGATGCGGGTGCAGTTGCGGAAACTCAGGAAGTCGATGAGGGGAGCGGCCACGAGATTTTTCACACGGTCGAGAATATTCGTAGCTCAACGACCGGATCACGAGACCAGGTCATCGCTCCAAAATTAATGGATGAATAAATTGTAATCAATCGGATCATTTGATGGATAAATTATTTATTGGATGAATTTATGGATAAATAATGAATGAACAAAATGATCAGATCCGGATCAAAACTGCGCGGAAGACCCCGTCACATTCTCTCCGCGCAATATTTCAGGAGGAATTCTCTCAAAAAAACTCTGATTAGACGAAACATCTTCATCACAGAACAACATTCCCTCCTTCCTTGTCTGTGCAAGAAGAGGCCCAGCCTAAGAGCAAGGGCGAGTCAGTCTAATTTATGTACCCCTAGCGTAACAACAGATCCGATGACCTTATTTACTTGATGGTTATGATCTTTCATCTCTCGGTTCCGCTGCTGGTTCGAAGAAGGAGCTTGAGTATCAGGGTGGTACGGTGACTCCCCATGGCATGTCGGCCCGAAACTTCTCCGCGCTAGGACCGCTGAGCCATCACATACTTCCGCATCTGTTTCCCTTTCCAGCGGCCGGAGTCGGTCAATGATCCAGAGGAGGCGACACTCCAACCTGCGGCAAATTTCGCAGGGAGATGCATTCTCACACCTAACTATTGAGCAAACTATTGTGGATCACGACAGCAAATTGATGGGGAAGACCGAAGCGCTGGAAATACTCACCGAAGGAAAAATGACTTTCGATTATACTCCGATTTTTCTTCCAACTCCGATATACTCCGTCGTCTACATTCGATTTATGAAATTCTCATCCCCATCCGAAGCGGCCTTGAGGAAGTTTCGATTAATGATATTTCGCAACCGACATTGTTCGGCAAAATTATGCAAATGATGGAAGTGACTGAATGTCAACGGGTTTCTGAGTGAACCCACAACCCTGGTGTCAAATTACTCATGATAAATCAATCACCGCTAGTGAATCCGACCAGAATCGCCTCCCCGCGAATATTGGTGCTGTTGCCGCCCTTGCTACCGCGATCAATGTGACAAGCAACGACTCGCTCCTCATCGGCATCGCATTTAGCGGCTAAACGATACGGTCACAATGAGAGCGAAGACATCACATGCCAGAGGTAAAACAAAAGCTTATCCGTCTTGTCCTGTGATGAGCAACGGCAAATAAAAGCCGAACGAAACCGAGGGGCCTCGGATACAGACAATGGAATACGACCTTGACAAGCTCGATGCCAATTGACATCTGAGGCCGAGAGACCTTGACGACCTTCAAATTCTGTAGACGGCGTCGCATGTGACCAGCGTGCGAGAGGCTCAGACCCGTGGACCAGGGTTCGAACCTTCCGCTATATAACCGGAACCTCCCTCAGCGTTTGAACACCGGAAGCGTGCCGGATCGTCCGGAGTGAATCCGTGGTGATTTCGATTGCGACAAGGAGGATCACCGTTTCCGCTGCTACCGTGCTCAGTGTTTTTCCGCGATGATCGGCGTAAGAGTTCTGATTCTCGTGGCGATCCCCGCCGCTCTCGCCAGCAATGCGACAGATCCCAAGAACAGACTCGATGAGAGAACTTTTGGATTCTTCGACTCGGGAGTGAATATGAGAAATATTGACGCGGACTACGAGAAGCCGATTGTGAGTGAATTTCTCCGAGCGGAATCTTCGGACTGGTGATAATTATTCATCTGGATTTCCCCCCGAAAATCTGACAGTTCAGCGGAGTATCCGGAGTCCCTTCTTCATTCGATCTCGAGTTCTAAGCGACGTTGTGCCTCGAGAAGTCTTTAATTTCTCGTCAATCCGGATATTCCGCGCCCCCTCTCCCCAGCAAGATCTGGATATTCGATGAAATCCCACGAAATATCATATTCCTCTCGATCTCCATTGACGTTGTTCTACCTCACGCAGGATTATCTGGTGCAATCGAAAGGCTATCCATTCGAGAAACACTACGTCACCACAGAAGACGGATACATCATAACAATGCACAGGATCCCTCATGGAAGGAATGTACCGAATCCCGGCACTCCGAATCGCAAAGTCGCCGTCCTCGGCGCACCACTCCTGACACTGAGCACAATATGGGTGATGGATATGCCCAATAACTCATTCGGTACGTTCGCTACCGACCTACTCGGGAGTAGGTCGGCTAGGGGCTAGCGGAACAGCGCTCGCGAGAGCCTCCCCAGACTCTCTCTCGGTCCGATCAGGACGGCGATGGGGTACTCACCTCCCACGTTTCGACACCGAACGAAGAAGTCCGCGAGACATCAGGGCGAACCCTCTCCGAAATAATCTCGTCATCGAGCGCTTCTTTCGTTGGAGACCTCTAATGGTCAATCAACGAATAGTCGACTGCGACGAGACCAGCGCATTTCACAAGCTGCTCGCCAAAGACCTTGCCAATATTGTCCCGGGCACGATTTCGATCGTCAATTTCGGGCGGCGGGAGCCCTACAGAAGCCGAGCGAATGCCGCGGTTGATTTTTCGCGTAGAAAGGAAGCTCGGTCAGCCGAGACCGCGTAAGCTCCGTTGCCGAGCCTTCCGCCAGATGAGCCTATCCAGATGGGATCGAAAGGTGACTGGAAGAGAGAAGCACTCGGGTGTTGGAAGGCAATTGAAGAAAGTCTTCTCGTCTTCCAGCTTTCATCTTGGCTGACCGAGGGTATGACGTATGGCTCGCCAACTGCCGAGGTTCATCGTTCGGGAAACACCACACGAACCTCACAATCTACGACTCGCAATTCTGGCATTTCACTCTCATAGACATCGGTGCCAAGGTTGGTGCTCCTCAACCATCCGAATGAAATGCGCTGGCGACCCTGTCTAGCACTGTCTGCGGACGGAATGCGTATACTTACCCCGGAAGCATAAAAAACAAGATCGAATCACTTTCAGGACTTAGCCGCACAAATCGATTATGCCTTGAAAGTTTCCGGTCGAGAACAAGTCTACTACGCTGGTGAGGATTAGGATTATCGTGCGTTCTCTTTATGGAAAAAAAAAGTTTTTGCCCCGATATTCGGTCTAGCAAGTCCTCTCGCAAAATGCGAGAAGTTGTTGTTGCCGAAGAGGAAGCTATTCCTCGGAGAAATGGGTCAGAAAGTGTGTCGAGTATAGCAGAGTCGACAGATGATATCCGATGGCACGTTTCGGGATGCAGCACGCTGTTCGTTCTTATCCGTATTTACGTACGTATTGAGGAACGGAGCGCCTACTGAATATTCTTCATCTCGTGACAGGCATGTCGCAGGGAGGAGCCTCCCTGTATGCTCTACTCGCGAAACGTCCCGACTACAATAAGAAGATTCGAGCCATGGCAGCTTTGGCCACCTTCAGGAGAGTCTGTCATATCAACATATGGTGGATGAACGCAGGCTCAACGCTGGAGAATTATATTGGAGTGAGTAGTCGCTTCCGGTGTGCGGCTTCCCGTGGTCGCTGGGTCCATGCCAATCCCGCGATACACAGTGGGAGTAACGTGAGACCTCGTCGCTGCTTAATTTTTTTCCAGCATCGCCCTAGAAGAGGGGAAACCCTGGGGAATAGTTCAGTAACTCCGAGAAAATATTTTACAGCGTTTCCCCATCATGGAGGTCCTACCGAAAGTTTCCATGCTCGGACAAGGATGCGACATGGCCGATAATCTTTGCTTATGGTACACGAAATATTTCCTCTACACGGACGTGAAATATTTGAACACCGTGAGTATGGTTCTATGGGTAAAGTAATTGCTTCGATTTTTTGTCCGCGAAGCCCAAAAACCCGATCGCAGCTCCGAGAGCACTGTCTCTCTCTGCTCCTCCGATTCGGTACATGCGTACGATTGTCCTGACGCGCTGGGCCATGGACTGGCGAATTGACTGTTCGACGCTCTGCCCGTTCTATCGACAATCGAACATCCTCTCCTCGGCTGATTCAAAAGTTTTGCCTGCGGCGAAGTTTATGATCTGCGATCCAATGTTTTTCTTTGCAAGCTTCTAAAAGCATCGAGCGTGCCTGTTATCGCGCTCCATAAACTCGACACGGACGAGAGTGTGAACCTTATCCGGACAGTAAAGTATGGCATTGTCATCGGTCATCGACGGAACAGCAAAGGTCTAGCCAGCTCCAGGTCTTCCAAAAACGATCCACGTCTCCGGATTGGGAAGACTCGTAAATGTTCCGCCAGACCGAATTCTCGCCTGACCTTGCCTGAACTGCTCCGTGGAGCCGCAATGTCATTTTCCCCCCGCCTGGATGAATGAATCACAGAGTGGGTTTGCCTAATGGCACAAATTATTTTTTATAAGCGAGGGAGAAAGCAAATCAGAAGAAGCGAAGAAGTCGAGGCTGTCGTCTCTGCAAGCGAATGTGTTCTGCGGAAGACAAGCCGCAGAGCTTTTAGGCTTGTTTAGAGCACGAACAGATGTTGCCGTCCTCGTAATATAGCCAAAGGCCCTAGCGACTGTTCGCATAGCTTCCCCGACTGGATGCAGCCATTCAAGCAACCGACCAGCCAACCAGGAAGCCCGCCTGGTTGCCCAACTTGCGCTCACAAGGCCCACGTCTCGCCTACGTATATCCGCCCAAGTGTCGCGTACAACCGTTTATACCGCACATGATATAGTCAAGGTTCCTGCATATAAGAACACCTACGGATGGGTGAAACCTTCGGATGCCGAGTGAGAAAACAACGCCGAATGTCCCTCGAGAGACTTTTTCCAGGAAGCAGCTCAGGTAGTTGCGAAGAGTGGAGCTTGTGCTGCGCGTTTTATGTCTCCGAGGATAATTTATTCTATTCCTTCCAGAGCCGAATCCCGGTGTACATGAGCCATTTCCCATCAGGAACCTCGAAAATGAATCTGTTCTACTACTCGCAAATCATGCAGGAGAGCCAATGCGAAAAATGGAACGAGGTTTGTCCAATGTGGTGGATTCCTTCTCAGTGATCACCCGGATGAGTTCTGGGCTATCCATTCACCTCTGAGATAAATCGGGGGTAATGTGTCATTGGGTCTTCCAAAGGGCGACGAGTGGGAGTCCCGAGATTCCGATCCGTGGCCGGAAAGAGTACTTGCGCCCGAATAACGATTTAAAACCGCAGGTTCGAGAGTACGACTACGATAGATCGGCGGTTTCTCGATCGACGTACGGAGGGAACTTTTTCTGGAATGTCTTCGGTGAAACGAAGCGGATCAACCCTCAGATGTACGATGGAAGTCTGGAGCCTCCAATTATGGATCCGAATAACATTCATGTGAGTTCCGCGTAAATCCCATATATGACATCTCCCCGGACCCTTGCGGGGGGTGGAATCGCAAAATCGGGAATGCGAGTTGCGGATTTGAAATCGGAGCTGAGCTTATCTCGAGAACCATTAGCGATGCCGGCGCATGTGAGAATTCTGATGACGAAGCTAGTACTGTCTGCCACCTGCTCAATGTATCTCACACCGGGAATCGGAGTCCTCCTAGTCTGGAACAGGAGTCCCGTTCGGCCCGAGCGAGGGAGTTCGCTCACTTGCTCTCTTTCTGACGACGCGATATTTCGTTTCCATCGACAGATTCCCATCAAGCTGTACTGGAGCGACGGGGACCGTTACGCGCCCCCTCAAGAGCAGGCTTTCCTCAAGAAGGAGCTGAAGAGTATCGTCGCGGAATTCCACATTGCCGATCAGGCTTGGGGCCATTACTCGTTCGGGACGTCGCCCTACAATGCGTCGGTCTTCTTGGATGCCGCGAAATTCTTCGATGATTGCAGCGTCGGGGAGGAGTATTGCACGTATCGGCCGTGAGAGGACCACATGGTGCGCTTGTCGCATATCAATCTAATCTCTCCACTGGACCTTTTGCTCTCGCCGTAGATGGAACGGACTTTTTTTCATATTACTTACCTAGGTTTTTCTATTGAGTTCCCGATCGAGAGGAGGCTCTAACAGATCGTGAGCCATCCCACGGGCACGTTTTCTCATGATTGATGAGGCTTTAGGGAATCACCAAGTCATTTTGATACTTTTCCATTGATCTCTGAATAAATGAGCGAATCGATCGATCGATACATTCTGAATTGAGATCTCTTCTATGACGCGGACCGGGCCGACCAGAACCTTTGCTACTCATCTTCAGTATGTGCGATCTCAAGTCTCCGACCCTGCACAACCGTCAACCACCACAATCATGACCGTGAAGTAGATGTCCTAGTTTCTCGACTGCATTTCAAGCTATAAAATTCGAGCGGGCTCCAAGGAATATCTCATAAAAGTCCCTCACGCAAACATCCCACGTAATGGTCACTTTACGATAGGGAACCGTTGACTCTCCTTACTTCATAAACCCTGAGCGCTCGTCCTTCTCGACACCAAACTTGACGGGAGAGGGTTTGTCGACCGGTAATTCCGACGGCGGCGTGTAAATTTCCGCTGCGGAGAGTGCCGCAAGTGGTTGCGGGGCAAAGTAAACAGTCCGGGCGCTTTTTTCCCTTTCGGCCTCTCGGAACGGTTCGGGAGTCTCGACATCTGCCCAGAGCGTGCTCCCCGCCAATAATTTCTTCACCTCTCCGAGCACCGTGAGGATGATCCCCTCTGAAGACAAACAACCCGAGAAGTATCTGGTGCGGAAGCAGACGGAGAAAATTCCGATCAGAGATTTCGGAGTTGAAACTCGCGCTCGCTTGGATCTTCTCTCTGATCTCTCTGTTGTGCTCGACTGTCCCGGAGATGATTTGTTCGCGGTCGTCGGATCCATTCTGGAAAAGATGTTCCCGAACGAGCCGAGTTATGTCAGATCTGCACTCGGGAATATTTTCTTCAACGGGAGCGAGACTAATCTCAAGAACCAGATGACAGCTGCTTCGAGCAAAGGAAACTCGATTTCGCATGACGTGTCGTTTCTGTGTTTGCCGTGTGCGATCGCCGGGCCCGACCGCAGGCATGTTGGAATCGGAAGACTCCCGGAGAACTCCAATCTCAGCGTCAACGGCGAGGCCCGAGTGTTATTCATCATTGTCGTTGTGTGTCCGTTGCACGAAAAAGCCACGAAGTCCCCGGTCGAAGTTTCCAGAACGTTCTGCACCCTATTCTCGGATCCCGGGGTTCGGAATCGACTTGTCCAAACCAATCTCACCGCCTCCGACTTCCGTGATGTTCTGATGCAGAGCTCTAGAGAGGAGCAAAACTCCATGCGAGCGGAGGACCCGAAATCAGAGTCATCCCCCTTGTCCACTAAAACTCAAAAGTTCCGACCGTTCCGCGGTCTGATCGACGACGTGCGACGGCGATTCCCGTTCTATAAATCGGATTTCGTCGATGGAGTTCGCGACCAACGCGCGATATACAAGACGACGTCGACGACCTTGTTCCTTTTCTTCGGAATACTGCTGCCGCTGATCGCGTTCGGCACTCTGAACAATGTGAACACCAAGGGCAGGATGACAGTCCGGCAGACGCTCATAAGTCAAACAATCGGCGGAGTTTTTTTCTCTCTGCTCTCTGGACAGCCACTTGTCATACTGATGACGACAGCTCCTCTGTCTCTGTACATAAAGGTCATCTATAGCATCAGCGAGGAGTGGGAAGTGGATTTCGGTGCCATGTACGCGTGGGTCGGGGTCTTCAATAGTTTGTTCCTGATCGTCTACGCGAGTCTAAACGCTTCCCGAATAATGCGGTGGTGTACCCGATCGACGGAAGAGATTTTCTCGCTCTTCATCACCGTGGCGTTCTTCGTCGATGCGGGAAAAGACGCCTACCACAATTTCCAGAGGTATCAAAATCCCCACGCGACTATTGCATGCCGGAACAAAACCCCCCTCTCTGTCGGGAGCCCGAGCCCAATCTATTTTCGTCGTTCCTGTCCAGGTGTCCCCGCAGCTTATTCAGACCCGGAAGTCGCTAGCGTCGGTCCCCGTCTCCTTTGGTCGGTCCTCATTGCTGTCGTCGTCTCGTAGATCCTCTCAGACGCGAAATCTAATAAGCTATTCTTCAATTTAGATACTACAGCTCGTGCGAAAACAATGGTGGGGTGGACCCTTGCCGTCGGGAAGTGTCTCTTTTGTTCGTGCTGCTTATGCTAACTACACTGTGGCTTGGGCTAACATTGTTCAAGTTCAAAAAGTCTCCTTATCTGCCGAGTTGGGCTCGCGAAATCCTTTCAGACTACGCCCTGCCTCTGGCGGTGATTTCGGTGTCGCTTCTCGGAGTCCTCGCCTTCCCGGACATTCCGAGCAACGAATTCAAAGACGATTCGACGAATTCGGTGAGAAATTCCCGACTCGGTACACTCGGTAGTGGAATAGATCTCTTTATGAGCTAAAAACTCATATCCACGATGAGTATATGAGGATCTCCGACGAATGCGATCAATGCATTGCGCCCGATGCGATGATTCTTTCGGGGGACTCCATCGGATTTGACATTTATTCGTTTATGCTCTCTGCAGGCGTTCATCGTAGCTCGAATGGAGCGGATCAGTGGCGTCCCACTGCTCATCTGCTTCATCCTCGGCTTCGCCCTCTCACTCCTGTTCCTCATGGATCAGAACATCTCAGCGGCAATGGTCGATAGTCCTGCGCACAGACTCGTCAAAGGTACGGTCGATCGGTACGGGTTGACGACGAATCGAATCCCGAGGTTCCGACTCCCGCGAACGATTTGAGAACCGCGGGAATTATCCTCCCCGATCGCCGTCTCCATCCCTTACGGGAAGCTCCCTGAAACCGCAGCATTGTTTCAGGCTCCACCTACGACTGGGACACTCTCGTTGTCGCGATTCTGAATGGAATCCTCTCGATATTTGGATTCCCGTGGATGCACGGCGTTCTGCCCCATTCCCCGCTGCACGCCGAGATGATGGCAGACTTCGAGGAACGCCTCGTCGAAGGCCATGTTTGTAAAGTCGTTGTGAAGTCCCGAGAAACGAGGCTGACTTCGCTGTTTGCCCACGTTCTCATGGGTCTTTCACTTCTTTTGATACCGAAACCGCTGGGACAGATACCGACGTCCGTGCTAGACGGGCTCTTTCTGTACATGGCGGTATCTTCTCTCGAGGGGAACCAGCTCTTCGACAGGGTCCTGTTGCTCTGTACCGAGCAGGAGGTGCGACTCCGATGCATTCAATGGGCGATCTGATTTGAATTCGCCCTCCTCGTGAAATGTTTGCTTACGTGTTTGTTCTCTCCTGGCAGTCGTATCCACCGAATCACTACGTAAGGAGGTGTCCGCAGCGAGCCATACATTTGTTCACCTTGGCGCAAGTGGTCCAACTGGGGATATTCATATTCTTCGGATTCTCGCCCTGGCCCTACGTGACGATGACTTTCCCGCTCGTGATCATGGCGCTCCTGGTAATCCGACAATTTATCATACCATTATTCGTGGATCTCAAATATCTGAAATACTTGGACGGTAAAGATCACTAGGCAAGCAAGAAAAATAAAATACCAAAGTGAGCGGAAACTCGTGAATTGACGCGTCCGATTCTATCCTTCCTCTTCCGTCGACGAAATGCTATTCAGGAATCCCATGTGATTAAGGAATGTTTTTGTACGAGAAAAAAGACCCTTCAAATCAATGTCGGATCTCCCCGACCTCCTTCCCCTCGATCTTCCCCCCGATCTCCATCTTATGAACCTACTTTCCGAAATCAGAGTTTCCTGAGGATCTCTGAGAAATCGGAGAAGAGGATAAGGTCGAGGGGAACAGTGACGGTGAGGAGCTCGTTATAAGACCTTCAGTCACAAATCCGCTCAAAGACACGTCCAGCGGCGGGGGAGCGCAACCGGCGCATGCACCTCAAAGCTGTACGCGATCGTATTTGACACAAAGCCTATATGACAGTAAGAGCCGATGGAAGACTCTATCCAATGTGACAGGATGCGCTCGTCAGCGCTTCGAGGTTCTCTGATTCTGATGACTTCTAGCATTCTCGAACGTAAACCGTCCTAATCCTACTCGGGATGATCAAATCCATGCCCGGTCTTGGCACCGAGGAATCGAATCGCTCTTGTCGGTTCGGAGACTGATTTCTGACTGTTCTTCCGTGCGGGCTCGAGACTATGAAGCGAAACGTTCCCAGCACAATAATCTACTGGAATTAAATGTTCCTCTCCTCTCTAATGAATTGGATTCCTCCAAGTCGCTTGACCTTTCCTCTCTAGACTCTGTGTCCCCACAGTTTTGTTCCGATCCCATTTCTGGCTGATGTATAGGCGGCGGGGAGATAGGGCGAGAGCAGAGTTCATCGTACTTCTAGAGCGCTACCGGCGTGGTGTCGGAGCCCTGGGGAAAAGTCGCTCATCGGAGCCCGCTCTATTCTCTAATGCACATACCTTCCACGGAGCGAGTTCATATCGAAAACGTTATCCAGCTTGTGAAAGGCTTCGTGTTCGGCCCTCCATCCATCCATGTTTCTTGCGTTTGGTTACGGCAAACGCCCGTCGTTCGTCCGTCCGTCAGTCTGTCCGGACTTCCATCTAACCGCTCGCTTACCAGCTCGCTCGCTGCCGGGCGAGATTCCTCGTTGCTTCGATCCTTACCCGCTTGCCCGTCTCCCCGTACGTCGGCGTCGCCGGAGATTGGGCGCCCAGGAGTCTCGGGCCGATAGACGGAAGGAGCCGAGCGAGGAATTCATGAATATAATGGTTTTTAAACTAAATGATGCGGCGCGGGAGAAAGGCGTATATTTTGATACCACAACCCACCCCGACGGCCGACCGATCTCCCGACAAGCCAAGTTTCGTCTACGATGCCTGCAATGGCTCCTGCCCCGCCGATTCCACCCGAGGGGAGATTGCGGAGAAGGCGGTGAGGAAAAATGGCTGCGGAGGGAAGGCAGCGAGTGCGAGCAAAACGAACGAGCAACGCGCCACCGTTGCTATGATGGAACATCGTCCAACAGCAGCTAGCTGAAACGCCTTTTTGTTTAGAGCTTTCCAAAAATGACCCCTGTCAAGGCAAGCTTCTGTTTCACGCCAGCTGTTCCGCAGGGTTTCGGGGTTATTCTCCCACGGCTCACGATAGGCGACTCACAGTGGAATCATGCTAGCGATCTCGTCTTCGCTGCGAGATCCGCTTCGACCAAAGGTCTCACCATGATTTTGGATTGAGAAAAAAAGTTAGAACCAGCGGTCCAAATTGCGGGAAACTTCTGTGCTCCCCTCCAAGGGGGTGTCGAGGGGAATTTTTATTATGTTGATCTGTTAGTTTTATCGCTCAGTTGTATTTCACACAAAGGATTTCAATGTCCGTCGAATGTACTAGGCCTCCGAGATACACCGTGATGAACCCGTCGGAGGGAACGAAGATACTGGGAATCGATCCGTAGATTTTGTCATCGGATGGTTTCTTCGCAAATGTTCGACCCACGTAGCCAGTTTCTCCGGAGTTCGTCCGTCCGTACGGTATGCAGGCGTCCAAGTCCATCATGGGGTCGTACTTCACCCATCTCAGATGGGCGAGCTCGTTGTCACACGTTAGGAGTTCCGCGTCTCTCAACCGGAACATTTCCTGGAACCCGATTCAACTCTCATTTTCGTCTACGATCCCACCCCATGACCAGTAAGAAATCTTCTGAGTCGACGATACTCACTGCCCTAATGAAGTCATTGGTTCCTCTCTTGAAATTGACAGCCCAATGATGCATGGAATGCGTTTGTCGTACTGCGACTAATTCTCCCTGGTCCCACACCCGAGCCACGTATAGATGATAGGATTTCGTCGTATCGCCTTCGGTGAAATACCCACCTAGGGTTGCGCTGAGGAGAAGCGGAAAACTTACAATCGTGGTTTGTGGGTCGGAAACGTGCTCTACCGGTGGAAAAAAACTGAAAATAGGTCTCTACCCCGGACTTCACCGAGAAACGAGTGCAGCTTTATTTTATCTCGATCTGGAAACAAAGCCGTCATCGCAATTTCATCAAGCATGCTCTGATCGAAATCGGAAGTCTTCCGCGAGAATAATACGGCCACAGGAACGCCTCCGGTCAAACGACTCGCTCTTCCGGAGGGAACCATGCTCCCATGACGTCGTCGAAGCGAAGAGCGCCGTGAGACCTTACTTCCCCCGACATGTCGCTTTCTCTTGAACTGTACAGCGAGTGCTTTCTCGAGGTGGTTCGAGAGTTAGCTCGGTCCTACATCAGAGAAACTCACGCTCTAGCACCCCCATTCCGGAGTTCTCGAGGGCAAGATTTTCCACGATGCTATCGTAGAGGATGTGCCGATACTTAGAGGCGTCTCCGGCCCTGGTACTGACCGTGAATCCGACGTTCCTGCTCGCATGGGATTCGAGCTCCTGAAAGCTAGAGCCTGAGGTACGTACTTTCGCGGTAGAGCTGAATCCAGAATATACGGTATCCACACACAGATTGAAGGAACTGAAGCGAGCATCTCTCCTTCAGACTATACGCTATTCAGCCTCCTCCAGAACGTGAGCGAGAATGACGAAACATCCATTTATTCCGCACCACCGTTCGGAATGAGAGAGAACGCACAGGTCTGTAGGTCACCGAGAGCAGACTATCACTCTCAAGTTCCGCGTCCGTCGGCGGTGGTGAACTATTGAGAACCTCTGTCGAGGACGGATATTTTAACTCTTTCTCAACACGGCTCATGGAAGCGTCCGATCGCAGAAAACGAGCATAATGTTCTTGTACGCAAGGGAGCGGCATTGCGAGGACGCACGGGGTCCGAGCCGCCCGGGGCATCGAGCATTCGGAGGTAGCGGACCGTTTTCTCCGTGGCGTGCTTGAGGGATTCTCGACCAGAGTCTTCTCGGATATGATCCTTGGGGGATGATCTCGGAGTGTATGTGCGCTTGAAAGCTCAGAGGACATTCCATTCCCGTTGCGAAATCAAATCGCGGCTTGTTCGACTCTCAATCGCAATGGTGATTCTTGTCAGCAGGCAATCTACTCGCTTGCTTAGAGAAGACTTCGCATCACAGGGGAGCGTGGACGGAATACGAACTTCGTCACAGTTTGGCCATCTTTGTGTATATCGCCCCGCGAGGCTGCGTGGCTTCTGGAATCATCTTCGAGAAAAAAATGAATGGGATCAGAACCCATCGTCGGAAAAGAAAGGAAGCCTCGCTCATTTATCTAGTGAATCCTGTCCTGTAGGAACGTCCGAGCTTGTCGAAGCTTCTCCGAGTCCACGTTCCGCTCAGCCAAGATCAAACATAGGTATAAAGCTGTAGTGAAGATGAAGGCTAACCTTCTCGAGCGTCAGTACGCTCGGGCAAAAATCCGTTTATCCCAGGCAGGATCTCGAGGCTCGGGCCCTTGTCAGATATTCGGATTCGAAACAGAATTCTCGATCACTTCTGAATTCCGTATCGGTGTTTGAGAAGCAATCGTCGGCCTACGGGGACAGCGAAGACAGCCTTGGGTGGGATATTTGGTCTCGAATGGACAGCAGATTCATGGTCCGGAAGCGATTTCACCTTATGCACATCACGATTCCGATGGAATCGCTCATTCTCGCATCCCGGGAAGACAATAGCGCGATATCAGGAAAAACTCAGAAGAATCTCCTGGAAGCATTTCCGGCAAGAAAGCCATCTCGACAGAAGAGCCGCGATCGGTTCGGTCCATGTGCGCAGATTCTCGAAAAGTTCAAAAAAATCCATCTATCACTGTACGTGGGCATCTGACAAACTCCGCTCAACCCATTCCCCAACAACAACACCGTGAGAGGAACTGTGCAACAGAAAGAGAGATAGAGAAGAAAAAAGTGAGATTCTAGGAAGGCGAACGCGCAGCCCGGGCTAAGCAGAAGATATTGGCACATCCGTCTTCCACCCACTAGCTGGAGGAGGTTTCTTCGCTGGCGGGCAAACGAGACACGGCGAACCTCGGCGCTCGCAGACGGGCTCGCTCGGAGCTATCGACTTCTCCGTTTCCACAACGCTTATCTGAGAGGTGTCGAAAGAGTTCTCGAGAAAAAGCGAATTCCACTCGAGCTTCCGGAGCGGGGAGTGTTCTCCTCAATCGCGCAACATTTCACGCTGTGCGACCGATCGACTGGATCAGCGGCATCTTGACATCGACGTTTTTGCGTCACTCGGTGAGAGATGAACGAGATTGCACAACTTTTGGCGGAGAAGTACTTGACGACGTTCTCGTTATTGGCCCACTTCATTCTCGAAAAGGCCCGGAGCTGAGTAAGGGGGTCGAGATTTTCCGCCGATCGAAGCCTCAATTCAATTTGTCCCATCGGATTAAGATGAATCGGAGCTCTCCGCGAACCCTCGATAGCAGCCCGAACGAAATATTTCGTTTCTCGAAGGACGGAGAGCCTATGAATGATTGCCTATCAGCCAATAATTTATTCGCGATTCCACCAACGCGGAGTTGATCGCACATATCGCACTGGAATATGTACAAGTTCTTCCGCGTGTCACATCCGGGTATGTATGGACTCCCCTCTGCTTCCAACTGAGCGATAGACTGAATTCAGAATGGGCTTGAGGGGGCCGCCAGAGATGTGAAGCTGAGAAGGTGGATCGGATGTAGCGAATGTTCGACTTTCGACTGCCGTTACCCGTATTCTTGAGGAAGCGTCAAAAATCAGCGATGTCTATGGACATTGGGCATTCCGCTAATTCCGACATCCTGCGGGGGGAAGAAATCGACGGAATAGCTTGGGTATCACCGTTACATCAAGAGGGGAGACAGCTCGTTGGAGCGCAGCGAAATCCATATACCTGCGCTCCAACGCGGTTAGTGCCTTCAAAGGTGAACCATGGCTCTTGCGGCGAGTCGCAGAGCTCCTAGAAGCCCTCCGACGGATGAGAAGGCTCTATAGCCAGGGCGGACCATAGCTCCGGAATGTCCGTAAGAAAAGATTCATGAGAGGCTCCGAGAATGGTAGATGGCGTAGCTTTACTGCGGTGATACCTAGGTGAAGGCTGCGAAGGACCTCCAATAATTAATCACGCGCCCACATCCAAGTGCCAAGAGATTCCGACGATGTAATTACGAGCCGCTCGGGGGCTGCCCACCACCGATAATTCGAGAGCGTACGGAATATCTCTCTGGCGGCCCCGACTGATCAGAAACTTCAAGCAGTGCATTCGATGAGTACGGACCTGCCGGCTCGACAATGAGGAGATCAGGAATTTCACACACATCTGGGTCTGGAGTCCTGATCCCCTTCAGAAGGTCGTGGGATAAGGCGAGTACGAGACACCGGAGACAAAGGAGTGAGTTTTCTGTCCGGTTTCACCCTCCTCATGAAAATTTGTAGCAAATGGCGGTGTTGAGATTCACCCGATATTCGATCCTACTGAATCGACTGACGAGAGCTTAACCAGAGCAGATCAGCTGCTTCAAATCGAGAGAGATTTCACAACCGCTGCCCGCTTGCGGAGAATATCCACAACCCCCTTTCCCCGATTTTCAACTGAGTTCATCGATAAGCCGTATGTTGACGCTCAACACCACCTACCCATCTCGAAGGTGTGCAGTTCCCGTGTAAAACCCTCCTCAATCTCTCAATCTCCCAGTTCTCCAATCTCGCATCGAGCCCTCAGTAAGGAGCGGGAAGAGAGCCGGGGATCCGGAGATACTTCTGGCATGCACGAGACAGGAGTAGGGAGTCATGAGAGGCTACTGCAGTGTCTCCTAAGAGTTGTCCGCCGGTGCCCCTCATCCGGAATCCGAAAGGTGTCCATGCCCCAACTGCACACTCAGGATATTGGAGACACCGAGCGTCTTAGAGGAAAAAAATCGCAACGACGAGAAAAAAAACGAAGGAACCAACTCATCCGTGAATTCATGGCCGGAGTCCCAGAATCGAGTTCCTCCCGTGAGGAATCATCGGCTTTCGAGAACTACAGGGTAGGAGGCGCCCGGAGCCGCGCAAGATGTCGACAAAGATCACCAGCATCATCGTCTTGTCGTAGAATTCTATTTTTCTTCCGCCTATTCTCGTTAAGTATCACCGCAGTTTTGATGGCGGATCTTTCCATGGTACCCTCAAAGATATAGACAAGCGCTGGGGGTACGCCTCGCGAGCTATATCCGACTCCGAGCGAATTTCGATGTCTTCTCAGCAGATCGCCGTTGTTGACTTTCCTCCAATGCCGCGTTCTCGGATCCCGCAGCAAACGCTCCAGGTTGAACTTCTAGCTCCTGCTATGCCAAAAAATGAGTCCCATCCAGGGGAATGATGCCGCAGAACCGCTCAATGCGGCATGCGGAAAAGGGTAAGGGAAGCTGCCGTTCGAGGGCGATCGCATGGATTCCACGGAGATATATATATATATATGTGCATGATTCGTGATGGTGAAAGACGAATTTTTCTAGGAGAATCCGTAAAACATCGAAGCAGTATCTGTGTAGTACTTGTGAGAAGATCCTATCCACATCCTACGCTCTGAAAGTTCATCAAAGGAAGCATACCGGCGAAACTCCTTACGTGTGCTCGCTCTGTACGAAAGGATTCGCGAGCTCGACTGATCTCAAACGACACAGCAGGTGCGTTCCTAGGTGTATCCTCCGACGAATCGCTGCCACACCCGACTAAATGAAGAGACTTAAAGCTCATCCTCTTTTGACTTATCGCAGAATACACACAGGGGAACGTCCTTTCATATGTCCCGAAATCAACTGTCGAAAGTCGTTCACCACCGGCACGATCCTCCAAGTTCACAAACGTACGCACTTTGGAGAAAAACCATTCAGATGCGAACATCTGGACTGCGGGAAGACTTTCAGCAACGCAACAAACTTGAGGTGCGAGACTTTATCCTCTTCAGCAGCGATCAATAGTTGCAAAGAGTTTAGACGTCTTGAAGTCTTTCTTGTCCTCCTAGGAACCACTCGCGGATCCACACGGGCGATCGACCCTTCAGATGCCAGGTCGCCGATTGTGATAAGTCGTTCACGGAATACTCCTCATTGTACCGCCATCTCGTCGTACACACTTCCGAGAGACCCTATAAGTGCAACTCCTGCGGTCAGTTCTCCAAGGGGACTAGCCAGCCAGATGAATTCCGGGAATTCTCAATGGCATGGTCGCAAAGTCAGAGCTTCTCACGTATGTGTTTTTTCTCTTCATTCCAGGCAAGCTGTACAGACAAAGTTCGTCTCTCAGACAGCACCAGCGATCTCATGGTCCAGACGTTAGTTTGGTGATCGAAACGAATCACGACGTACAGCGACCTCCGTGACGCAAAAAAGGCCAAATTAGAATCTCTTATTTACAATCACATAATTCCCAGTGTCAGCGGGAACTCGCTACAGATCTCCTGACGATGCTCGAAGAGAAAGAGAAAAACGGATCCGGACTGGAGGGTGAGCAGCTCGTCAGAAATAAAAATATCCGATCTGACAATGAGAAGCGAGCAGGCTTTTTTTTGAGTTTCTGAGCGATTGTCCGGGGCTCGTAACCTGGGCGTGCGTGACCGCGAGACCAATGGGGGCGATGAGGCGGAATCCTTCCTGGCGATTCGGAATTCTCGTTTCGGAATTCCTCCGCCGCATTCGTCACTTTGGTATCTGAAGTGCTACGATCCGAATACCTGGAGCCACCAGGTCATCGAGTACCCCTGTGATACCCGAGGAGGAACGTGTCGAGGCATGGTAGTTCCTTGAAATGCATTAGTTCTTCTCTAGGGAGCAACGAAGCTGCTCCGCGGGATACCCTAACGAGGAACTCAGGCGGAACAGACTTGACGCAAGGATATGGTGGTGAATCGCCGAGCGCAACCGCGCGTCAAACCCCTGAAGTCCCACAAGAGCAAACAAGGAACGAATCTGTTCTTCGCCAATGGCATCCTCTACTACGCCGACGCACCGGTGAAAAAAGTTGTCAAGTATTCCGTGGACGATCAAGACATTCTCTCGACCGTTTACACGAAGAGTGAGCTGTTCTATCCCGAGTGAGATCCGACCCCTCTCTTACCCATTGGGTCGATGTGCTGAGCTAATTTCGATTTCCAAACGACCGCCTTCCCTCTCTCAGGGAGGTCGTCCCTCGCGATACCCGTCTACAAGCATTCAAAACTTCCCCCGAATATGAATATCGAGTCGACGGTCTTGATGAGCGAAGGAGCTCAATTGAAACTGATGGATCTCGAAACGAAGAGCGAGAAAGATTTGATTTTAGTGGACGATGCCGAGGAGGTCTCAATCGGAGCTGCGGCAACGCACCAGACAGGAACTCTTTTCTTCTCAACGATTCAGCTCGGTTAGTTGAGATCTTCGAAACCGAATGTTTCAGAATGCGTCGAGCCACGAGGAATCGAGCCGAAGACGAATACAATCGAAGATAATGCCCGATACAGATAAAGGGACCGTGGAAGAGAGCCACGGAGGCTCATTGTGCTGCATGCGCCGAAGCGGCAAGGTCACCAAGCTCTTCGACGGGCTATGCGTGCCCGATGGGCTCTGCTTCAACGGAGACTGTACGAGACTCTTCGCGATGGAACGCGGCGAGAATCATTTGGTCTGTTCGAAGCTCGACGATCTGAGCATCGCCGGTCCGGTGAGTGGAGATCCGAGCGACCCAGAGTCACCCAGATTTCTTGGCAACGATCATTCGAGGGATCGCAGAACGCGCTCCGCTGACTTTTCCCCCACAGGAGCTCGTCGTAGACTGGAATAAAAGCCCGCTCCTGCCCAAAACCGTAGTGCGGGGTCTAACGATGGATATCGATGATCGTCTCTGGATGTGTTGCTCCGGAGAGGGAAAGATCATTCAGGTCGATGTAGAGAAGAAACGTGTCCTGTTAGAGATTCCTGCGCCGAAAGCCCGTGAGGTGGGGCATTGGGAGCGGGCCGCTCCGAGAAATCGTAAGATCTCGCCGAATGTCGGACACGGTAATGCCTAGAATGTCTAATTCCAGCTGAGTTCGCTCTGTTTCGGGGGCCCGGAGTACCGTGAAATTTTCGTCGCCTCGTCTTACGCCGCTCTGACTCAAGACGAGCTAACGAAGCAGGTGAACGCCGGACACATTTTGAGAGCCAAGGGATACGATGTACGCGGTAGAAAGCCTTTCCCTGTAATGATTGAAGTCGCCGGGGACTAGGAGCAAACTCAGACCAGTATCGGGGCGCTATTCAATGATCCTGCGGTCGTATATACCTGACGGTATGATGGATGACGCTCTCTCTGGTGACCTCACCCTAAGTGATTAAAATACCTACTCGAAGCTCTGAGGATGAGAGAGGGAGGGAGAACTCGAACTCATCGAGAAAAAACGGAATAAAAGTTTCATGGACCGTTCCACATGCATCCGCTCAGGCTTCCTCTGATAATTTCCAGGGTAAGACAGCTCTCACAGCGTTTACTCCGTCAAGCGCTTGCGTGGAATGAAAGAGCCGGTACAAGGACGCAAGATCTCGGGTGGAATTCTAGAGCCAGCGTCATCGGAGCCGTGATTTCCGCCGATCTCGAGATATCCACGGTACGGTGTGATGCTCACTCACAAATGAGTCAAGCTCCCGCGCGATGAGGAGCATATCGAGAACAATTTATGTGGGCGGCACAATCAGGGGGGGACAGTCACTGGATGCCCGATCGACGATTCTCCGGGTCCTCGATCCTTCTCTTTGAGTACATCCGAGCTCCCACACGCCGCACCGACCGAACTGACATTTTCTCGAATTCTCCAGCCCGTTCGACAGATTCTCTGAAGGAGAACCTTGCGGGTTTGTTATTGTCTTGGTTCCACTTCGAGTTGCCCGCCTGTACCACAAACGTACCAATGATCCTGGTATGCCGCGCTGATGCTTTTTCATTGATATCGTGGATTATAGGCCCAAATCGTGCTTGGATCAGCGCTCATTATGAGGCTAGGCATCGAAATTCGAGAAAAGGGAATTATTCTCACAGCGGAGCGGATCCCCATCCCCAGCTAGGACGGTACCCCGACTGTGCCACATTCGGGTTTGACCCGCTGATTTGACGGAAATTCGAGCCAGATTTGTTTACAAGCGTTGCGAGCCGAGTTTAAAGTGGCGTCGAACCAAATATTCTCAAGTTTAGCATTATGTGAATCATCTATATGATATTTCACGTTATCTGTTGCTCAGTGAAGTGAAGCCACGATGCCGACGAGTTCACCTCCTCTAACGAAACTCACAGAAGGATGTCGGGTTCCCGTTCACATGAGCGGAACAGAGTGGCCGATCGCCGAAGTGAGTTGGCTCGTGCACTTATCTCCAATGTATAATTCACCCTACCGGTCCCAAGAGGCTTCTCTGAACCCATTGCACTGTGGGCGAAGATGAGGCGGAACGTTATTCAGAGTACTGTTCGAGAAGAAATCCAAAGAATCATGTATTTTCACCAAATAACTGAGCGGAACCCCAGGCCGCTCAGAACCCGCGCGTGGTGTTCCATTGAGCTACGTTGCCGGTTAAATTCTCTGCCTCAGAAACTTCGCGGTGTAGAGGGAAGAACGATTTCCAAAATCATTCTGTGAAGTGAATGCTACCACTAGAGGCATCTTCTCGTGTTCTACAGGTTCTTTCGACTCGGAGAGAGGATTCGGATAATTCGATGTTATACTATGTCCACTATGTGGGCTTCAATAAACGTCTGGACGAATGGGTACCGCCAGAGCGCATCGACTTCACTCGAATCACGCAACCGAAACTCAAAACCAACAATAAGCAACAAGATGCGGTAAGGCTCTCCGCGCGGTGATACGGCCGGTAACCGCGTTGGCGCGGCCGGCATCTGCAACGTCCCGAAGCAGGGGCACTCTTTTCAGCAAAGGCTTTTCTGAGGGTTCAACTAGACAGTCAATTGTAGGACGCCGAAGACAAGCGAACGAAAAGTCGGAAACTCCCCTCTGGAGTATCCAGCTGATTGTCACGATTCGGTCCTGAACTCCAGAGACGGGGCGGTAACTCGGAACCCTCACCGGGCTTCGAGTAATTAGACTATCGAAGATCCAGTTCTTCTAGCAAGGCTCCCGTGATGGAATATTATTCACCCGATTAAATATTATCATCGCTGATTGCTTGACGAAGTTTCCCTCCGTAGCCGGGGAGTATCGCAACGGTGTCACGGCCATCGAGTCCAGACATATCCGCGCCGGCTACCCCCGAAAGTTGGGCCGACCGAGGCACTCCCACCACGAAGGAGAATGGGCTAATCGCACAGAAGGGTCGGAAACGGCCCATGAAAATGGATGAAGACTCACAGGTTTGTTTCGCCTAGTCGAAGTGAAACGATTGAGGAGTAGCCACCTTCTCGCGCTCATCTGATACCGACTCTCTCACTCTCCGACTCCCCGATCGGCTGGCACGACGGAACTTTTGTTTTGATTCGATAATGACTCCTCTCCTCAATCTATGCGGATTGCGAAAGGGGTGGAATTTAAATATTTGATCGTTCGAACAGTCGTCGAAAGATGTGCCTCCCGCGAAATGTCCGCGGATTGCTCCTTTCGCTAAGGATAGCCCAGCCAACGGCCAGGCTAAAGAAGTTAGTTTTCTTTGTTTTATCTTCAGTTCTCTCGTCCTATTCTCTCCCTTCGTTTCTGAGTCAGACCTTCTGTGATCGTATGAATTCGTTGTCGCTCCCCATCCTCTGTATGGTGCCCCAAATACGTTCCTCCGGGATGAGCTCGAGGGCTTCATAGCCTCGTTTTTTATATGATGGTCATCCAATCCTCCGAAATTCCAGGATGGGCCCACTCCACCGCAGGGCGCACCTCTAGCGCGACCGTCTGGATCTGGATCTCTAGTAGCTCATAACGACAGTGATATTATAACTCGTATGAAGAATATCGAGATGATAGAACTAGGAAAACATCGTATTACACCCTGGTGAGAATCCGGAGCGTCCGGTCCCGTTTTGACAGGAATTTTCATCTGAAAAGAAAAAAACTTCTAGAATCGAATCGTGGGACCCCCTCGCCCATGTCCACTCGCCGAAAACTCGGTTTAAAATCGCGCTTGTCACCATCCACAGGTACTTCAGTCCGTACCCTCAGGAAATGGTGAACGGCTGCATTCACCTCTGTGAATATTGCCTGAAGTTTGTAAAGTCTCGGAAATGTCTCCAACGACATCTCCAAAAATGCACACTACGACATCCGCCGGGGAACGAAATCTACCGGAAAGGCTCGTTATCGTTTTTTGAAATCGACGGCAGAAAAAACAAAACCTACGCTCAAAACCTCTGCTTGTTGGCCAAGTGTTTTCTAGATCACAAAACGTTATACTACGATACCGAGCCCTTCCTGTTCTACGTGATGACGGAGCAAGACAGCAAGGGCTTTCACATCGTAGGCTATTTCTCGAAGGAGAAAGAGTCCGCCGAGGACTACAACGTCGCTTGTATCCTCACACTGCCATCGTATCAACGACGGGGCTACGGGAAGCTGCTCATCGAGTTCTCGTACGAACTGAGCAAATTCGAGGGCAAGACCGGCTCACCCGAGAAGCCATTGTCCGATCTCGGCCTTCTGTCCTACAGAAGTTATTGGGCTGAGGCCATCCTGGAGATTCTCATCAACATGAAGAGCAACGAGAATTGCGATGAAAAACCGTCCACTACCATCAACGAAATTTGCGAGTTGACCTCTATCAAGAAAGAGGACGTCATCTCAACTCTGACCTACCTTAATCTCATCAACTATTACAAGGGCCAGTACATCATAACGCTGGGCCGGGACGTTCTCGACACGTACGAACGCGCCGTGTCAAAGCGGAAGATTCGCATCGATGCGAAGTGTTTGCACTGGACGCCGAAAGATTGGACTAAACGGGGTCGGTGAGATAGGTTCTCGGGGTAGGGGCAGTCGACTTAGTGATTCCTCTCGGTGGGAGCAGAGAGCAAGATGAATGAATGAGATGGCTTTAGCATCCTGCAAATTGTACAAACGGAATGGGATGGGGCAGATGGATGCGAACGAGGACTGAGTGGAAACTCGAGATGGTGAGGCGTACTTAATTCCAAATGTAAATAAAACGAACTTCCCTCAGGTTGTCAGACAACGTCCCTGCTCGATCTCTCCTTGCCATTCGGGATTACTTCCCTTCTCGGAACTCCCCCAGGATGATTCGGAGTTTCGGAATCGGAGCTTGTTTACGAGAGAAGAAAGGAACCGGAACTCATGAAAACTATTATATTTCCGTGCCCAATCCAAAAAGCCAAACATTTGAGCAGAGTCACGCACAATGATGCAGTTTCCTTCCGTTCTCCGGAGGCTTTCCAGCTCGTTAGTCTCCGCCTCGTTGAGTGACACCGTGACGGCTCTCGTCAGCCGAGAGTTTATTCTCTTCAACCGTCAAATCCGTACAGGATAGCCTCCTTCACAATACGGAAAAATGTTTTCCAGAAGACCCATTTGCCCGTGGGTAAAAATCGATTAAAACGCTGGAATTCGAGCGTCGATGTGGGAAGTCCGCGGAACCTGATTCAGCTTTGATGATTTAAAATTCGGTTTCCTCTCCGTCTCCTGTGCGGGCTTCCCCGTCTCCGTCCATAGCGACTTCTTCGTAATCTTTCTCCAGAGCCGCCAAATCTTCTCGGGCTTCGGGGAATTCTCCCTCCTCCATTCCTTCTCCGACGTACCAATGCACAAAAGCTCTTTTCGCGTACATTAGATCGAATTTGTTGTTCAGTCTCACCCAGGCTTCTGAAATGGCTGTATGGTTTGACAGCATGGTTATGGCTCGGGGAACTTTAGCGAGATCTCCGCCGGGGATAACCGAGGGTGGTCGATAATTGATTCCGACCTTGAATCCCGTCGGGCACCAATCTACGAATTGGATCGTTTTCCTCTTCTTGATGCTGGCGATGGTCGCGTTGACGTCTTTCGGCACTACGTCGCCTCTATACAGAAGACAGCAGGCCATGAATTTTCCCCGGGTCGAATCGCAAACCACGAGTTGATTCTGCGGTTCGAAACAAGCATTCGTTATGCTGAGCACGCTGTGCTGGTCGTGGTGCGACCTGTCTCCGGATACGATGGGGGCGTAGCCCACCAGAGGGAAATGGATTCGGGGGTACGGGACCAAGTTCGTTTGGAATTCGTTCAGATCGACGTTCAGGGCGCCGGAGAATCGGAGGGACGTCGTGATGGCCGACACCGCTTGGCTTATTAGGCGATTCAAGCTCTGGTACGAGGGTTTCTCCACGTCCAAATTACGTTTGCAGATGTTGTATATGGCCTCGTTGTCCATCATGAAGACACAATCGAAATAGTCGAGGGTTGTGTGCATCATCAGCACGGAGTTGTACGGTTCGACCACAGACGTCGAGACTTGCGGCGCGGGATATATGGCAAAGCCGAGGCGACACTTCCGTGCAAACTCCTCAGATATCTTCTCCATGAGGAGCGACGTATACCCAGATCCTGTGCCCCCGCCGAAAGAGTGGAAAACCAGAAAGCCCTGCAGACCATCGCAATCGTCGACCATTTTTTGGAGCTTGTCCATCGTTTTATCGATGATTTCTCTGCCGATTGTGTAGTGTCCTCGCGCGTAGTTATTGGCAGCATCCTCCTTTCCCGTGATCAGACTTTCCGGATGAAATAGTTGTCTGCAAATCGTTCACGGGAAAAAATTGGTTCAGATTCGAATAAACATTCCGCTAGGGGAATGTGGAGGTGACATACTTCCCCGAGCTCGGATCGCTTCGCGCACTCACCGGTAGGTCCCGGTCTTTATCTCGTCGATGACTGTAGGTTCCAGGTCCACGAATAGGGCTCTCGGTGTGTAGCGATCGCCATTCGTTTCTCTGAAGAACGTGTCGAAACTAGAATCCGAGGGACCCGTGGCTTGAGCGTCGAGATGTCCGTCGGGTTTTATGTCGTGCTCGAGGCAGTAGAGTTCCCAGCACGATGCTCCCATCTGAACTCCAGCTTGACCGATGTGAACATTGATGATCTCCCTCATTTTCTTCGAGTTTTTATCTATGTGGAAACAGAGCAGAGCTTAGATCTCGGTTTCTCATTTATCCCGCCGAACGGGGAGAGCACGTTCGCATTCCGGGCCGGAGCAACGACCGAGAGGATTCAGAAGCATCGAGCATCGTAGATCGCGGCGGGACATGATCTGCCGGAGTCAATTGTTGTCGAGAATTCACTCACAGATTGATCTTATTTAGATGTGGAATCGTGGAGTTCTGGAATCGCACACAAGCAACTTCGGGAGTCTGTCACCTGAATTCGGCCCGCTTGTGGGAAGGCAAAAAATATTGTTCCGATCATGAACGTCATCTCCCGACGTGCAACGTGGAGCCGGAGGCAGCACGGTCGACCCGACTCGAAGTCCCGACATTCGGGGACTCTCTGATGGCATTTCGCATTAAATAAGGAGGGGGAATTCCCTCTAATCTAATCGACAAGTCACCTGTCTAACCGCCTTTACCCTGACAGATAACTGACATTTCGGAGAGAAATCCGCTTAGAGCTGGAGCGTTTTTTAGAGCGCCCGGCAAGCTCTGCACCCTATGTTGGATGAATTAGCCAGTCAGAGGCAGAGTCATTCCGGACTCGCCGGCAGAACCAGACCGGGAAAGGCACATACGCTCATCGGATGCGTCACTTCGCACCATCAATGATAATTTCCGCTCCATCTGCTCGAGGGAGCTCTCTCCGAGGGGCACGGGCGTCCCGTAGACTACATGATTGGAAAGGGAACACCCTCTCAAAAGCATCTCATTTGAGGTATGACATCCATTCCGGAAGCGGAAACCTGAGGAGGCTACGCCACCCTGGTCACATCTCACATCGAATACTTGTTCGGGCCGTCGCACCTGTCGACCGGATCCAGGCAACACATAATCCTTTCATCACCTAATGGAGCGCCTCCTCAGCTAAGAACGAATAGCGTCCACCCTGAGACTCGAGAGAATGGATAGATTCTAGTACGAAAATATAGTCGGTCGAGCGCTTCCTCGCGTTTCGCAGCATTCAATCTCTTTGGGCGACAACCGATCACTTTATCGCAGCGATGCCGAGTAGGGTCGAGAACGATCCCAATTAGACACATAAGCGATGAGCGAGTCGAATGTCCCCCCAGAGTCGTCGCTACGTCGACGAGTCTTGTGAACTCATTGAGAGAGCGCCTGCTCGCTGAAGTTTCTTCGCGAGCTTCTACATATTGTGTAATGTCACATGCTCGTAATCGCTTTTTCCCGAGACAGATGGTGTCCGACGGGATCCCCGGCGCTTCCGACACCGATCTGTCGACCTTAGAAGGGGATTCGCAGGAGAGGGGGAAGCCGGTTGACAGGACAAGTCTTCGACCTTAGCAAATGGCCTCTGTGCTGATGAGGAAAGCCAAATCGAACTTCTCTTCCTCAGTCAACGGTCATAGTTTTTTACCGTCAATAGCTCTGGAGGGAGAAGCCATGCCATTCGACTTCCGTGAAGATTCGTGACTGACGATCAATGATCGGCGATTCCCATTCGTCGGGACTGGCCTGTGGCCTGAGCTTTCCCTCGGAGCGATGAGGCGACATGAGGCTCGAAATGAGACGAACATCAGCCGATTTACAATACCTCTGGTGTAGATCGTGCACTGTCCAGGTAATGGGGACCTCGCCGATGACCGAAAACCCAGGACTCGAGTCTGGAGAAATCAGATCGGATCTGGCATGATTCTCCGACAGTCTCGATTAGAGACTTGATCCCAGCTTGCGAGGAGTTTTCTCGCTGACATCCTGGGATTAATCCCCAGGATGCCCCACGCGGCAATGCGGTATGTTCGAGCGATCTCATAATTGCTTCTGCCCAAGGGAATTATCCGCAAACGGGTCCACCCGAGTAGGTGTGGGTCTTTTCGTCGTTTCGAGGCTCAATCCGAACTTTTAGACGAGAATGATTATATGCACGCTAGCGAATCGTCGCTGGACCCGAGTCAGCTTGCGCATGAGCGCTCTCCCACAAGTCGTAGGCGACGACAACTTTTCGCTGTGGCGGATGAGGTATTTCCATCCGATGTAATCATGGGTCGCACTCCCGAATCTCCCTAATTTCCGGGGGTATCCTTCCACTCACCGCGCCTCGAACGCCAGGAATATATGTACATTATTATCGGGCATACGGCCTGGCGACGACGAGCGTGATATGTAAGAGCATTCTAGCCTGAAACTCTTGTCTCGGATTCGAGATATTAGGAAAACGCATACGCATAGCCTATTAAATGAAGAATCGTGCTTGTCTGGAACCTACGTCGTTCAAAGATTCATTCAGAGGAATGTGCAGGTCATCGATCGTTCGGGCAGTCCTCATGCAGTACCGCCTGGAAGCATAAGCTCGTTGAGATGAATCTCCATACCGCAAGCGTTCCAACCACTGACGTTCCCGTGGGAAGCTTCGCGTCCCCGTGCGAATTCCGGGCAACGAGGACCCGCTCTTCAGGAGAAGTCTCCGCGAAGTATCTAATTTTCCGCGCGGAAGTTCTCTCTTCGATGTGGCCTGCGGTTGCAAACGATTCGGATCCTCCCGCTGTGGATCCGAACCGATCGGATTGTGAGATTCTCCAGGCTGTGAGTTCTCTTCCAGGTTCCGACAGCGTCGACAATTCGGTGTACGGGCTCTTCAGTCGAGTTTAGTATTTCGCGGTTTCACTGACGCGACTGTGGCCGACGCCAGCGATGGAGACAGGGGATGTATCAAGGGACGAGGCTTACGATGTTCTTCAGAGCTCCCGCGACCGGTGTCTTGTCATTTCGGCTTTGTGCGAGGATTGAAGAATATCACCGCGGCTCACGGAACGGTGCCTCAGAGACAGAGACCTCGGTCAGGAGTTCCGTAGTATTTAGAGGGAACGGAGCTGGGAGCCTCTAGGATAATCGGGGACGAAAATCGAAACTCACGTATCACGAGCGTTCCGAAATCGTAGATGTCGCGGTATACTTCGTCATTTTCGGATGGAAAAGCGGCGCCCCGGAGTTTTCGGTCATGAAATGGTCATGCCTGATTGAAGAGGTACGTTTCGATACTCCCGAGAGATGAACTCAGGCTGGGAAGCAAGGTCGTGAGAACTCGCGGCTTGGACGGCCGCTTGAAAAAAGCTCAGATGGATGGGATCTGTGGGGGAAGGGAGAGGATTCACGTCAGATTGTATCCGACAGACGAGGAGTGCAGAACAGATGCCCCGGACAATTGGGACCAGCAGACATTGGTTTTTGCCTGTACAAGTCTACCTCGGTGTGCACGAGGGAAAACTCCCCAGAGGATCGTTTCTTACTTGTTTGCGGGGAGTTAAACTCAAGCAAATCAATGAAAGCAGCAGGCTCGACTAGGCTTGCAATTCAGCAAACGTGACAGGACATCTGCTGCTGGACAGCTGCTAGAATACCCCTAGGACAAAATCAAAGCTGTTGGGATTGGAGCTGAGCTTTTCGGAAGAAAGGTCAAATAACCTCCAGGTGGGCAGAAATCCTGAGACATTCGCTGAGCTTGTCGGGAGGAAGACGAAATGACCTTCGGATTGGTGAGGATCCAGAGACTTTCACCGAGCTCGACCAGAGCAACGATGCTCCCCTCTCACAAGCACAGACCTGACGATTTCTCTGTGCCAGATAGAGATAATCGTTAGGAGGTCAGTCTTCGGGAGAGCAACGCCGTGCGCACGGGAAATTGTTTTCCCATCACAGCTTTGAAAATTTTCCAAGACTGGCGACGCAATGCTCCGGACGGGTAAGAAGATGCCGATGGCAAAACTAGCCCCTCCTGGCCACCTATTCATCTAGCGTGAATTTTCGCGAAAGTCATCGCTCTGATGGCTCTGAACGCTCTCCTTCGAAGTCGCAGTTCTACGCGGTTCGGATCCATGGAGTAAGCTGGATGGATGGATAGATGTTTACAATCATCACTCACCACGATCGTGGAGGATTCGATCATACGCGATCGGAATGGACCTTGGGAAAATATGATCCGATGGCGAGGACGGGTCGACGTTTCGCAAGCAGGCTGAATTAGTTTTCCGGCTGACGGCTACACATCCTCCGGGAGCACTGAGTTTGGTTATTCCAGTGCATCGAGAGGATTCAGCAGATTGTTTGTAGGGCTGTGAACGAGGTGAATCCCAGAGTGTTATTGGAAGCCATTCAGCGAATATTGCTGATTTCGATAGATCTGCGCTTCAAAAGAAACCGATGCCCATATTCCCAACGACTGAGTGTTTCGTTAGAGCGCTTGAAAACACTCCACGTTCACTCGAGAAACCTTTTACGCATCGATATGCTCCACTTGTTGACTGAATGCTGTTAGCAACCGGGAGTCTTCCGCCGCTCGAATGAAGGTCAATCCGTCATCAAAATCCGGATCATCTAGTCGAAGCTTCTAGGACACGGAGTTTCTCGTGATTTACCTACGGTTCCGGAGTTCCCTTGCTCGGCCGTCTCCCCGCGGCTGTCTGGTCCGAGACAAGGGGCAAGGTTGAAGGATCCGCCATCTTCGCTCCAGGCCGAGGTCCTCTGACGTAGGTCCTAAGTGAATCAATACAATCTGCTCAGGGCCCCGGAGTGAGCCGTGAGAAGGAGATTATAATCGACGTCTTCATTTGGTATCGCGCCCGCGGCGGCTGAGTCCATCCTCTTCAGCTTATGTCTTTATGCAAAATAACGGGCTATAGATGTTTAGCTTGTCGTCTTTAAGTGATGGGTTTCATCGGATGCATAGGTGTCGCCAGGGGGATATGAAATGAAAATTGCTCTGTTAATGTTCTGAAGCTTGCTTGGCTCAACATGAGTCCGAGATCCGAGCGCGGTGTTCTCACCGCGAACGTGATTGCCTACTGTGCATCTCGATTTTGACTATTCGGAGTCGCTGAGATCATTCACTCAGTCACTTCCGTCCGTGGAATGATGCGCATCACGAGAACTCAAGTACTTCCCGCCGAGTGACCGACTGGGACTCGCCGCTGATCGCCTCTCCGAGGCTGAACCACGTACAGAATTAGTCACCGAAGGTATGTTATTAATACCATGTCTCCCGAGATATCCGAGGAAATTCTCGTTTTTGACGCGGAACGTCTCTAAATGGCTCGGAGGGGCGAACAAAAAAGTTCGTCCGTCATGCAGCGAAATCTTCTCCGCTTTCGCGGGCCCGGAACTCGCGCCCGACTCGGCAGATTCCCGTGCTGAACGCTGCTGGGCGTTGCCCGGGAGGCAATATCTGCGAATTCACAGCCGATCCCAAAGTCCCTTGGGAGTTTCTTCGTAGAGATTCGTGCGAAGCCCAGAAAAAGTCTGAAAGTGCTCGTAAATCATGTATTTCATTCATGTATTTTTCGCGTCAATTTGCGTCTTCACGGTGAGTCACGATATCTCTCGACGAATGGGTTCATCCATCGCTGCGCTTCTACCCCAGTCGATAACATAATCGACGGGGAGGTTCCAATCTCGTTCCCCCGATGCATTGGTCCGCCACTCCCAACGAAAGGACGCAACATCCTTTGTGCGCGGGGTATTTCATCATTCATATCGGTGGTTTCCCAAATATTTCAAGCCCCCGACCCCCCTTTGTGTTCTGAGCACTAGATCCACGATCCCTCTGGACCCCCTCTTTTCCCCGGGAGGTTCCCGTGGAGAACCGAGAATCGCCATAGACCCCCGGGAGCCCATGTAGGCCACGTCGGGAACCAATGGTTGAGATTATCATTAGTCCGCAGACCAGGCGTCCAAGTGAGTGTGCCTGTTCTCTAGCTTGCCAAGTAGAACGTAGTCTTCGCCGCAATGAGTTTCATGGAAGGAAGCGCGAGGTTTTTGGCGACTTGATTGCATGACGGTAGTTTACATCATCCGGTCACGATGCCGAACTCGAGTCACAATCGATGAATCTTCCTCCCTTCAAGTTGCAAGAATTTTGAACTTCGAGGAATAGATTGTCTCCACTCGTCCGAGCTCAGGGAGGCGTAAGCGGACAGAGCATTTCTGTCGAGGCATTCTTCTTGTGACAGATCTTTCCATCACTGCGCCATGATTCCCGTACAGGAATCATCCTCTCTAGCATGGAAATTCTCGAAAGAGGGTCCTGCGACCTCTAGGGAGTCCCGGATTGTTACAAATCCAGAATCGCTGCATGATCCCGCGCAACAAATCTGAATCGCTGTCCACGAAGGAGGGACCCAGGAAATCAGCCAGTCAATTCCCTCCGGGGGTGCCTCCCCAAATGCTGTTGATCCAGCCACCCAGAATTTTACAGTCGAGCGCTCACGCGTTCGAAGCTGAGTAGAGAATCATACGAGCTCGTGAAAGTCATGTGATCCGAAGCACATTGGGGGGAATCGATCATCCTTAGCCTTGGCTTATAATGGAATTGCACTCTATCGATCCGATTTCTGCCGCTAGGGTCCACCCTTCCTCCACCAGGCACCCATCGGGAGAGCCGTGAATCCTCCTCCTTGTTTATTCTTCCCACAGCCAGCCGTTATACCTGTGAAGCGTTTCGAGGGGAACGATCTTCTAGAATAGATAATGCTAAAAGAAACGGTGAAACTTGAGCGAGAAGAGCGCCTCTGAGGAACTCGTCAGCGACGTTGTGTTTGAGCAGAGATACCAATCGGAAAGTGAAGGGGCGTTCGCCGTAGCATGGACACCGTCCGCGGACCGACGGCGGACCACGAATTCATCCGGCGCTGGTGGCGATACTCCCGCGGCCGCCGTATTCTGCCGGTGGTGGCGTCGACGGCGTGCGGCAGCTCGAAGCGCTCGGGTGGGACAGCGCGCGTTCTCCTCGCCCGTTTAGAGAGAGTTCTACCGCTTCCATAGCGTTCAGTGATCACTCGCCACCGATGACAGCGAAATGTGTTTCCAGACTTTTCGGATGTTTTCATTCTTCTGCTTCCGTTGCCCTCGGGCCCGTGTCGGATTTTTCTGAAGGATAAAGACAACCTCAACGTTTCCAAAGTGAGGCTTAGCTTTGCCATCGGATCGCTTTCTGTTCGGGCGAACTGGAAACGATGAGCGAACGGGAGAGGATGAGCCGAACACCGATGTACGGTACAAGGTGGTGAGCGTAAAAGAGACACGATCGGGACCGGACAGTCTCGTCGCCTCCCGCCGAAGGGAGAAAAAAACCTGAGACTTCTACCACCTGCTGGACATCTGCGTTGGTTTCCCGTTTGGGGTTTTTGTTCCTACCGCACGACCGACCGACCTAATCGCCGCAGTGTTTTCTTATTAGCTATCAGAACAAGATAGGGAGGAGAGTGCCGTGAAACATCACGAGTCGCCGAGACTCAGCCGTGAATCAAGTCGCGGAGCATAACCCGCCCGGAAAATGTGCGAAGCAAAGACCTCGAATCTCACGCGCTCGGCTCCATGGGTGCTGTCGTGACTATCGATTCTGTGAGCTCGAGGATCTCCTCGAAATCTGCTAGAAAGTTTAAAGTGTATGGATACCTGAAAATGGTAAGTCCTTCATATAATATTCTGCTTCGAATATCTTATGTGTTCAGAAAGCCTCATACGTCGGAGCTCGTTCCGAGTTTCCGTACGCTCACGCGCCACAAATCGAGCTTGAAACGAATCTCGGAGAATCCCCAGAAGATTCGCGAGGGGAGAGTTCGGACTGCTGAGGCCATAGCATCCGCCGGAAAACTACTGCAAGTGAACGGGCGTGTTCGGACTTCTCGTCGGGAGTTCCTATTAGAAGGAGTACGCGCGAGAAAAGGAAGAAAATTCGCGCCAGAACGGCATTTGACACGGACACTTCTCGAAGCCGAGACGTAATGAGCAGCTTTGAAACATCAATCATTCCTTCGCAAGTGACCGCCGCGTCGATAATGAGTGCTCTTGTTCTGAAAGTGAAAGTTTATGGCCTTCCTTCCCGCGAGACAATCTTTGCGAAACACGGCTCCTCCCTTCTTCCAATCCTGGCTCGGTCTACGGAATATTTTTGCTCTCCCCGAGAATCTACAACCGTGGATCCCAGTCCCCGGGGGCTTAGTCTCGAACTCGGCGTTGTCTTGAACTTCGGCATAAATACGCTTACATAGTAGTGAGACTGTCAGACGAGCCGAGCGAACGACATCATCCCTTCCGTGTCTCCCCGGTGAGGAGAGTTGTTTGGTTATCTATCTAAGGAATTTCGAAGTCAGCTATCGAGCCGGGTAAATCCATCTTCATCGCTCCTTCTGACTTGAGTGGTGTTTCGGTGAGCGGAATCGTATCTATTTTTCGCCTGAAGATCTCTTCTATCGTCATGCGCCCCAGAGCGGCGATGTCCCAAGCAGACCAGGATTCCGTTTCCGAACGATAAAGGTCCAGTGAGCCGGTGTTTCACCGCGATGCAAAGGAATGCCGAGGAGACTTACACGG